TTAGGCGGGAGCTGACCATCTGCCTACTAGACAGGAGCTGCACCTCAGGTCTCGGACAGCAGAGCTGAGGTTCCTGAGCTCTCTCGCTGTCGATCCAGGGCCGAGAATGCGGGCGTGACTTTTTTTTCACCACTGAGCCTCGCTTGTAATAAAGAATTTCAGGGCGATGTCCCAGAAAGCTCTGCGCTGAGCGCGAATCTACCGACGCTCTGTGGCGTTAGCGGCGGTCGGGCAGGTGGGGCGCTGTTTGTCGAAGGTGGTGGCCCAGTCTCTCTGCTGACTCTGCTGCTGTGGGGGCCTCAGCACTAGTCCTGCCTGCAATCACAGAGGGAACTGGAGCTCGACTTGCTTGACTTTTAATACATGAAGAGCAGAGGGTTGGACAGAGGTCCTGGAGACTGCAGCAGGCTTGAACTTGCGGTCCCCAGTCCTGCTGCTGGGGACCCCACTTTCTCATGTGGTTTGCGTTCAACCTTTTTTAATTAAGAAAAAAAACCTTTTGCTTAATTAAAGCTTCTTTGTTGATATCAGAGATGAGACCGATGGAGCTGTGTGTGTACCTACTGTATATGAGATTCAACACGTACCTTAAAATGTGCAATTTTCAAGGAGCTGTAATCTCATTAAGCAAGCGACTGAGCACAATTAAGGGTTTTGGAGTTTCCATTCAAACTCTTTACCTGTAAAAACTACAGCTGCTGCGATTTGATGCTGCTTATTTATGTTATCAGACCAAGTGACCTCAATATGTACAACTAGGACAGGTGATTTATTTTGTTGCACATATGTTTTTTCTTAATGTGAGACTTTGTCTGTTTGTTCTCTTGATGTTAGCAATAAGACAATATTAATTAAAATATACAGGTTTTTATTTATTATACCTCATTGTCTTTGGCAGAGCCACAGTACTCACTTTAGTATAATAGTGGAAGCAGGGGCTTTTTAAACTCCTGCGCAGTTTGACAGCGTCCCTCTCGCCTGTGGTCACCTGATACAGTACCTGCTGGGGTCACGGCTGTTTTGTCTGAAACACATGGCTGAGATCCTCATGTCAGTGACCTGCTTGAAGCCAAGTGTAACAACAATGGTGAATACGTTCCTCGTGGAGCCTCAGCCTTTCATCCCTGATTTCTTCCGGCTTGTCGGCCGGCCGCCTGTCCCGGGGGTCAGTGGGATGCACGAGCCAGCAGCAGGTCTGACCCGGAGTGGGAACTGCGCTGTCATCACTCTGGTCTCCCCACGTGCCAGGACCTGAGCTGGGCAGCCCAGCCCCACCCTGCCAGCCACCAACTGAGAGCCCTTCAGTGCTGAGTCAGCTGTCCAGACTCTCTCACTGGCCCAGTCACACACACACACACACACACACACACACACAC